CCCCCTTCCCCTCCCCCATTTCTGATGAAGGGTCTAGGCCCGAAACGTCAGCTTTCCTGCTCCTATGATGCTGCTTGGCCTGCCGTATTCATCCAGCTCTGCACCTTGTTGTCTCCCCACTTTAGTGTTCAGTTCTTGCAATAAATGATAATGTGGTATTAGCTTTTCTAAATAATTCCTGCACATGCACACTAACCTTTTGCAGACTCCCAGATCTCTCTGACAACTCGGAGTTCTGCAATCTTTCACCATTTAGACAAAGTGCTTTTTTTTTTATTCTTGCTGCCAAAATGGACAGTTTCATATCTTCCCACATTAAATACCATTTTCTTGATATTTACCCACTCAACAGTTTGCTAAGTCCTACGTCTCTGCTGACTGATGGTCCTGAGTTCCTCCCTCTCTTCCATTTCCTAGTTTACAGAGATTTCTTGCATGTTACATGTATCCTCTGTGCTGATCCACCTTGTTCTAACTCCCCCTCATTGGTTTCCTTCACCATGCACTGGGCTGGCTCGACTGCTTTACAACAAGAGAGCGACACTTTTATTCTGGAGAATTCGCTACAGTTTTAAGGACAGTGTTTCATCCGCTCTCCCAAAAAAATCTCTAATCTGGACCCTTGACTTCTTCTAGTCAAGTTTTCAATGAATACACAGTTAGATCCCACTCGCCTGCTCCATGAATTCGCTCCTCTGCTTATTGATCAGCTTCACAATCTGATCAAATGTTGGTCTATCTGTGGGCGTCAGATTCCAGCACTTTGTCATGATGTCGTACCTGTTGGAAACAGAGTTCAAAGGTCACGTGCAAGTCTGTGTTTGCTTTACACCAAGACTCTCATCCTGATGTTCATGATTTCAAGTCCCTTTTACCCTCAGGACATGAACCTAATCCATTACGCAAAAGATTTTGTATCTGAATACGTCTCACAACCTCTCGCAGTAGCTCGGTATAGAGTCTTAGTGGGTAATCCAGGTCAACACTCCAGTGAAATACTGAGTGAGTGCTGCACTGTCAGAGGCACAATCTTTCAGACGAAATGTTAAACGTAACATCATTTGTTCTCATGTGGATGTAAAACTTCCTTGGTACTTTTGGCTGTATTTTAACACCCATCTTTCACTTATAGCAGTTTCAAATAACTGAGTGCCTTTCTGGGCTGTACCAAAGGGCAGTTAAGAGCTAAACCATCAGTTATCCATTTGTTAAGCAACGCTCAAGATGGTAACAACTCATTGAATGGAATGAATGATAAACTCAGTCCTTTTCTCGCTATCCGGAAAGAAGATTGCATAATGGGAGAAGTGCCTTACAGTTCTGGAGTTGCAGAACTGGGTCTGTCCATCTGGAATCCGCTTCGTATCAGTTTGTAGAACCTGCTGTCAACAGGAATTCCTGGATAAGGACTCGAGCCTGCAGCACAAGTACATTTTCACAGTCAATATTGAGAAAGGGATGCTGGGACTGTATCTGTATTCACTGAGGGAGTGATGGGGAGTGTGTCAGCATTTACAGGGGGGTCCCTGGGGGCAGTGTGTGTGTATTTATAGAGGGTCCCTGGGGAGTGTGTCAGCATTTACAGGGGGGTCCCTGGGGAGTGTGTCAGTATTTACAGGGGGTTCCCTGGGGGGGAGTGTGTCAGTACTCACAGGGGGTCCCTGGGGAGTGTGTCAGTATTTACAGG